AAAGTGAGTTTATCAAGTGTATACACTTATTTGTTTTCATTCTCATACTTATATTGTCCTTAAAAAGGCGAAATAAGTCATCGATTCCGACAAGAATTAGTAAATCATTCAAATGATCATTTGTCTCTAGTAACTCGTGCTTTGTCTCAAGCAAATAGTGGGTTGGATAAAGTTGAGAAAATCGTTGAGGTTTATCTTTTTATTCTTTTTTAATTTTTATTTGAATGATTAAAAACAATTAAATTTTATTATTAATCTTTTAAAAGGATGCACGCGATAATATAAAAGCGATTGAACGAGATTTAAAGTCTATGAAAGATCTTGTATTTAAACTAGATCCAGGTTTCGTACCAGTTGTTAAAAATGTTAGCTAGCAAAGCCGAGCCAATTTATTGGCCCTGCTAGATCTTCTGAGCAAACCGGGTAACCTGTGGCTTTGCCAAATAAAAACCGTAATTAAATTATTTATTTCAGTCTAGTATCCTTGGTTTTATAAGAAATTATAGAATATAGATATGCAACCCGATAACTTCAGAAAAATAACGATAAATGGTAACATTCTAAAAGATGGTAGAAGTGCAATCTTAAAAAATTGCACACTAATAAATTAATCCTCTCCTCAAAATCTATTATTTATAATGTATTATAAAAATAACAGATCGTAACTGCAATATACAGATATATGCTATTCAAGATGTTAATTTGCAATAATTATGAAAAATTTGAGTGACCTTTCTGTTAGAAAATAATAAATGAGCTGAAAAACTATCAATAAAAAAAGAAATTAAAATAAAGTAAAATAAATAAATAATAATTAATTAATTTATATATTTAAACAAGTATTAAGTTAAAAAGAAAACCAATGGATATTTTAAAGGAGTTGATAAGATATACAATAAATCTCTAATACTAGGTATATACAGTATATATATATATCAGATATACAAGTCACTCTCGTTATACATTAATAAAAATTTTTTAAAAATTCATTGTATCGAGAGAATTTTATATAGATTGGCTTTGAGTCAAACATCACTATATCGAGGATTTTAATTAGTCTTCACTATATTGAGAGTTCATTATAACGAGGGTGACTTATAACTAGTTTAAAAGATAAAAAACCTATCTATATAGGAATTAAAAGTCGATCTTTATGCTCAAACTGGTA